CGCTTATCCTTTGAATTTAGCTCAACTTTCGTTTCATCGGGGAAGAGAACAATTAGTAAAAAAAAAAAAAAATCAGATGAGTCACTTTTATCGAACAGCACTGTATATATATGTTTTTTTTAATCTCATCTTTCAGTTGTATTCCAACCTATATTTAATCTATATTTGATCCTAATTCATATTTATATTCTATGATCATAATGCTAAAACCTACATCCAAACTAATGGTGTGAACATGGGAAACACCTTAGGTCCTGCTTTCTCTAATCTTCACCTGTTACATATTGAAATCTAAGTATTTAAAACAAGTAACAAAACACAAATCTATACACGGTACGTTGATTACAGTTTTCGTTTTGATAAAAAATAAAGATGAAATTATGAATCTAAAATCAAATTTTGAAAAAGAAAACACTCAACGCTAAAATTTACATACGAACTCATCGTATTCCTTGACGTCGGTATGGATCTAAAATTCACAGTATAAAAAATACACCAGGCAGAACGCTTGTCTTGTAAACTATGATAGCCAATTCCGGGGAAGGTTTAAAATAGCAGTGACAAAAACTTCTTAAATGGAGCACACCAAAATTCCTCTTCTCAAAAAATATTTCTGAGTGAAGTAAAATACACAAAACAAGCATGAGTTTAACAATAACTTTCCAAGTACATTATTGATAAACAAAAAAAAAATATTCTTACTAAAATATATGACACCAGTAATAAAAATACCCCATAACAATACATCAACATATTTCTGTCTATATTTCTGAGATGAGTTATTATGTACACTATTTACATTATTCGGACTATTGTCCTCATCTTTGTCGCCATATTTATTACAACGTTTCGGCCATTCAGTATCTGTCTATATTCCTGAGATGAGGTATTATGTACATTATTTACATTATTCGGACTATTGTCCTCATCTTTGTAGCCATATTTATTACAACGTTTCGGCCCTTCAGTATCTGACTATATTTCTGAGATGAGGTATTATGTACACTATTTACATTATTCGGACTATTGTCCTCATCTTTGTCGCCATATTTATTACAACGTTTCGGCCGTTGTACGCTCCAGCCTTCTTCAGGTGGTTGGAATGTCGAACTGAACCCTTTATTTCGCTCACTGGGGTAGACTGTTCTATTCCCACGTGCTATGTTTAATGGATGTCAGTTATCAGTTATCTCCTGTTAATTCCCCTCTCCAAGTTCTCCACTTAACCGGGTATTGAACTCACATTCTTTGTCACTGGATCTAACCAATGCCTTTATCCACTGTGCCATGTGTTTGAGGGACTATTAAGTGGTACTATCAAGCCGAATTATTGTGCGTCGATGATTTGGGTTTTGATTTAGAATTACCGGAAGTTAAGCCGAGCCGCTCTACTAACAAGGTATGCACTGAAATGGTTAATTATCATGGGTTGATTTTTGCTTCTTTGTTCTTGTTAAGTATTTATTTGAGGCTGTAATTAAATACTATTTTATTTAAAAACGCTGATACCTGGATCAAATTAATAGATGTATTCCTTCTCTAAATAAAGAATTCTTTAGGAAAAAAACAAAAAAATTGACGCCTAACTGTAATGCTGAACTAAATTTATAATGGCTGATATGTTGATTAAATATTTATAATATTTGTTTTTTAATTTATTTTATTGAAAGCATTTGTCGATTTTTAACATGAGAGATTTCTAGCGGCACAATAATTTGCTCTAATAATTTATTTTAGCGAGAGATTTGTGACTACAAGCTCTTTAAAAGCGGATATTTTATTGAACCCTGTTTATTCACCTGAACTCTTTCAGAAGAATAATTTATTTCAAACTTTTAAGCCACGTCCTTGGAGGCAAGAAAATACTTGATCACAATCAATTTTAAGAAACCTTTATTGGGTTTATTGGTTTTTGAATAAAGATCGTTTAAGGACAGAATTAATAAGTTGCTATCAAGGTTAAATATTAACCTGCAGGGAATATCTTCATTGAATAGATATGTTTTTCTGGGAATTATTTTTTTAAATTTATTTCGTTTAAATAAATCCATTACTTCTTGTTTAACAAGTAAATTATCGAATTTTTTACAATTTGAAATAATCGGATATGTGAACAGTGGATGAATACGAAGGAATTGCCAACACATCAATTTTATTTACATTCTGCAGAATGTTGCAAGCATTTTTATTGATAAATTTATTTATAAATAAGGGTGTCCAAAGGAAAAGATGTGAAATTGTCAACGTTTTCTATTTCACTGAAACAGACGTTAGATACCTCCATCTTCCCTTCTTTCTTTCAGTTTTATCACAGAAACCAAGTAGCATGTCTGAAAATGTTAGTTCCGTTCCTTTAAGCGGCCAAAACGGAATAGTCCATTACTTATGTTGGCAGGGCGTAACGGTTGTGCCAACTAATGAAACGAGCTACAAGTAGAATTATAATAGATTCTACAACTGAAACAAGTCATGTGTTCTTGCTTTCTTTTGTTAGAAGTCACTGATAAATCAGATCCCATTTGTTCTGTCAAATGCACCCCATGAAGTCCCATCAATAATAAAATTGATGTCTATCTATATTTTTGAAATGAGGAACTGTAAGTATTTAAATTGTTCGGACTGTTGTCCTCATCTTTATTGTGTATTAATAAAAATTTCTTGAAAGACAGGTCTGGGCATTGTAAATGTATAAAGCCTGATATAAAATAATTTAATTGAATTTTTTCTACATTTTAACCATTTTTATTTTATTTAAATGTACTGAGATCTTTGCTTTAACGACTTGGTTATTAACATACATTGCATTTATGGGATATGTGATTTTCTCTGTCTATTATTTCAACCTCACCCCAAAGAGGGGTGGGGCAGTGAGATCCCTTTTCCCTCCATATGGGATCGTGAATATGGCAATAAAGATGAGGACAACAGTCCAAACAATGCAAATAATGTAAATAATTACAATACCTCATCTCAGAAATATACACAGAACCTGAAGAAGGCCGAAGATTATAACGACAGAAACGTCGTGAATATAGCAACGAAGTTGAGGACAACAGTCCGAACAATGTAAACAATTATAATACCTCATCTAAGAAATATAGACAGAGCCTGAAGAAGGCCGAAGAGTATAACGACGGAAACGTCGTGAATATGGCAACGAAGATGAGGACAACAGTCCGAACAATGTAAATAGAGCAAATAATTACAATACTCCAACTCAGAAATATAGACAAACGTCAATTTTATTATCGATGGAACATGATGGGGGTGCATTTGACAGAACAAAAGGGATCTGATTTATCAGTGACTTCTAACAAAAGAAAGGAAGAACACATGACTTGTTTCAGTTGTAGAATCTATTATAATTCTACTTGTAGCTCGTTTCATTAGTTGGCACAACCGTTACGTCCTGCCAACATAAGTAATCGACTATTCAGTTTTGACCGCTTAAAGGCACGGGACTAACATTTCAGACATGCTACTTGTTTTATGTGAAAAAAATGAAAGAATAAAGGGAAGATGGAGGTATCTAACATCTGTTTCAGTGAAATGGAAAAAATTGACAATTTCACATCTTATTATTTGCACACCTTTATTTATAAATAAATGTATTGATAAAAATTCTTGATAGACATATCATGTGTATAGTAAATACATAAAGGCTGATATAAAATAATTTAATTGACTTTTTTCTATGATATTTTAACCATTTTTCTTTTATTTAAATGTATTGAGATCTCTGCTTTAACGACTTGGTTATTAACACGCATTGATTTTATAGGAGAAGTAAAGAATACTTTGCTTTTTGGGAATACACGTCACTTCTGTGAACCTAATGTTAAATTACTTTGTAAGCAAGAATTGCAATATGATCTGAAAACAATGAATATGATTAGCTTTCAGATAACGAAGAAGATCCAAGATTGGCTTTCAACTTTTTATTCTTATTCATGCATATATTACCGAATGATATTGTTAATATCATTACGAGGAAGAAGGCAGACATATTGAATTGGAGGTGTTAAAGATTTTATTTTAAATTGAAAAAAGGATTAATGTTTATGTCTCGAGCTTAAGATATATTTATTCCTTTTTGTTCTCTTTTATTCATTCTTTCTTTCTTTTTTTCCCCCGGTCTTTTTTTCTCTCTTTTTATCAATTCTTTCATTACTTTTCATTCTCTTGTTTTCTTTCTTTCATTTTTAATCTCGACCTCTTCCACATTACATCTTGTCATATTTCAAACTTCCAAATGTCAAGAGTTCAACACCTCAACATGTGGCCCATTAGAAGCACACGGGGTAGAGGAGTAAAGGGTTGAATGATTGTCGACAGTTGCTGCCAATAATAACAAATGGCGAAAAATGGAGGCCCAAAATGGCCAGCCCCCCAACTTTAAAATTGATCTATCTATCTATCTATCTATCTATCTATCTATCTTAATCAGTTCCTATGTTAATCTGTTTCTATCTATCTATCTATCTATCTATCTATCTATCTATCTATCTATCTATCTTAATATTTTCATATCTATCTAGCTATCTATCTATCTCCGTAAAAAAACAAACTGTATAACCCTTTTTTTGTAATCTATCTATCTATCTATCTATCTATCTATCTATCTATCTATCTATTTTAATATTTTCATATCTATCTATCTATCTATCTATCTATCTATCTATCTATCTATCTATCTATCTTAATCAGTTCCTATGTTAATCTATTTCTATCTATCTATCTATCTATCTATCTATCTATCTATCTATCTATCTATCCGAATCTGTTCCTATCTATCTATCTATCTATCTATCTATCTATCTATCTATCTATCTATCTATCTATCTATCTATCTTAATATTTTCATATCTATCTAGCTATCTATCTATCTCCGTAAAAAAAAACAACTGTATAACCCTTTTTTGTAATCTATCTATCTATCTATCTATCTATCTATCTATCTATCTATCTATCTATCTATCTATCTATCTTAATCAGTTCCTATGTTAATCTGTTTCTATCTTAATCTGTTTATCTATCTATCTATCTATCTATCTATCTATCTATCTATCTCAATCTGTTTTATCTATCTATCTTAGAATATTTAATTTCTCTCTATCTATGTATTTCCAGATATCTAGAAATCCTTTCAAGATTTATTATATATAATTATATGTAACGTGTTTCCTCTTCTCTAAGAACTTCATCTGACAATAGTAATGTTTTTATTGATAAAGCTGACATATGAGTAGGGGAGAGAAGATAGAAATTTAAATTTCAGCGTTCCTACAGCTTCAGCGTTTTTTTTTTCTCTCGCTACATAACCGACGCTGAAGTATTTACTTTTCCCAACTACCTACACTTATATAACTGCAACCATAAAACACATTATTTTACCCTGATGAAGTCCTTGAAGATGTTGAAACACGTTACAGAGAATATTTACATCCTGTCATTCATTTATCTAACATATCTATAAATGTATATATCACATTCTTGCACCCCCCACACATATATATAGGGTGTCCGTAAAGTTCGTATGAAGTTTAAAAATTTATAACTTTATTTGTATTTGCGATAGAAATAATCTGTAAAAAATGTTATAAAGTTTAATGTACCTAGTTTTAAGTATAGCTAAAATAACTAATGTGATTTCAGGCATTACTGTAAATCAGTTGGCAAATGTTTTCCGTGAACTGCAAAATCGTATTACCCTTTGTATTGCTAATGATGGAGGAGATGTGGAAACTTAAATAAAATTTTAATAAAACCTTAAAAAATATAGATTTACTTCTTTCTAATCCTTTTTATAAATTATTTACATCGCAAATAGAAATAAAGTTATAAATTTTTTAAAGTTCACACAAACTTTATGGACACCCTGTATATATATATATATATATATATATATATATATGTGTGTGTGTGTGTGTTTGTGCATGTGTGTGTGTGTGTGTGTGTAACATTTATTCAAGATTATAACATATGCATGTTATAATATCACTACAATTTTTTTTTTTTTTAAATTTTTCCTTCTATTTCTTGTGTGAATATCCGTCCTTATATTTACGGGCTCATATATTTGATTATATATACGTGTTTGTGTGTTAGGATTTCAATGTGTTTGTCCTGTCATTTGAAAAATCTCTCTCCCTATCCGCGCCCTTATTTGAATTTAGAATTCCATGTCTCAAATACTTGTAGGAATCGTAGATATTCCTTACATTAGCATCAAACTTAACTGATAAATTGGCACTTCGCTAAGAACAATAAAATATATATAAGTTATAATTTATTAAAGTGCACCCAAAAGTGCAAAAAAAAAAAAGAAAAATTAAAAAAGTTCTTAGGTTCATTGAAAAAAGATTGATTCAGTTATCAAACTTATACTTTAAGAAACTTTTGCAACGAATACCAAAAATTTATGCTGCAGTAAGCAAGGGTAAAGGAGGATATTTTGATGAGAGCAAAATTTAATCATTAAATGCTTTTTTTTTCTTTTTGTTATAATAAAATTTCCAATAAAAAAAAATCATGCCTCACTTTTTTTTTAACCATGTATAATAATTTTCTCTTATTTAATGTAGAAAGCAATTACTTTTTGGGGCCAATTTAATAAAAATGAACCGGATTTGTCTCAAACCTTCCAACTGTAGTGAGTATATATATATATATATATATATATATATATATATATATATATATATATATATATATACGTCGAGTTGGCCAATTAAATAGGTCAATGTCTGATCCTTACCTCCTCCTTCCTCAATATTAATTATTATAAAAAGAAATATAAAAATAAATTTTAAAACTCTCCTTCCTCTCTAAACTCGACCATGTCTCTCATACTATCCCTCACCACCCTCTATGTCAACTTATATAAGCTTAATACTGCCCGTCAATAGTGTAAATTTTAATTTCATTTTTCGTTGAAGTCTGAGGATCCAGAGAAGGATAAAGTTCTCTGGTGAAATAAATTATTACAATGGAGCCTTAAAGTGGTCTGTTTTTCTTTAAATTAAATTATTCGCCCTGAATTAACATGGAGCTCTCAGGATATTATCCTATTTGGAATTATCCATACGGATTACCAAGATTTTCCTTACTCATATATATATATATATATATATATATATATATATATATATATATATATATATATATATATATATATATATTATACGTAGTTCTTGTATATTTATAACGTGAATATACTGGTTGTTTGAAAGCCTGTATTGCGCCCTTAAAACACACTCCAATATCAATAGCTTTTTCTTACATTTTAACTTAGATTACAAACGTCCCCGAAAGAAATATGGACACCTTTGAAATGTTCCCATATTTATACGCTTATAAATGTCAAATTTATTTAATTCAAAACCTTAGTATACTTGTGTCGTATTAACATCTTTTTTTGTGTGTGAGAGTTTCCACCATAGAGCTGAGTTTAGCAAAGGTTGCTTGACAATATTGACTTTTCCCAAATATCACTTCTTACTGAAAGCCTCTTAAGTGCTGGAACAGCTTTCAATCTAAAATATTGTGATAAGAATCAGGCAAAAAATAAGATGCTAGGAGCCGTCGGTAATTTCTATCCTTAATGACACGGCTATTCCATGAAAACTTTATCCTCCCTCGTTGGCAATGTTTTGTATCCACGTTCACTGCTGGGAAAAATGACAATCGGATATTTTTGGGGAAAAGATTTTGATTGGCTATTTGAAAATGTTGTCTTCTGATTTGTCGACGAGGCAGTGTGGGTGGTTTGAACGTGGTTCGAGGGTGTGTGGCTTGAATAGGTCTACAAGAAAAATATTCAGTTTTCTTTATGAATTGACAGAGAGAAAGAGAAAAGAATTAATAATACGAAATCCACTCGCTTTTGTTAGCTAAAAAAAAAAAAAAGAAAAACAAAGTCATCTTTTAGTTACGTAAATTACCGAAGAATTCCGATTCGAATCAATTGATTTTGCGTCCGCAGCCCCGAAGGAGTCTCATGCTTTGAATGCAAAATAGTAACGTTCATTGAATTGCCTATCATAATTATAATTGATAATCTCAATATAAAATTTCTAATCGGATTAGACATCGGCACAAGGAATAGCAATAAAGATGTGAAATAAATAAAAATCCCTTCGGGTGCCTTTGTAGAAATTTCCAAAATGCTTCACCGAAGGGAAAAAAAAAGAAAAGAAAGATAAATCATATGCAAATGGAATAAATATTGCAGATTTCTTTTCAGTTGTAATGTGCTTATTTTGGGATTTGGAATTTAATACACGTTGGATTAAATAAAAGAAAGCAGAGGGCTTTTGTCGGACAAGAGAAAGAGTTTCTCCACTGCTGCGACAACTGAAACCGCTTCTGATGTTCCACCAATTTCAACAATAGCCACAACTGATAATAATAATAATAATAATAATAATAAATAATAGTAATAATAAATAATAATAATAATAATAATAATAATAATGATAATAATAATAATAATATGAAAGTAGTAAGCGTCTTTACTCCGTAATGAAAGAAGCCAACAAATTCAAAATGGAGTTTCAAATGGGCGTAGAGATGCAACTACAGCACAATACACCGGCTGAAACTGCAAAATACCTAAAAAAAGACAGCAAAGACGAATGCAACCGACCAGATACAGAAGCGATGGCAAGATAAACCGCTTCATGGCCAATACTCTGCCCGTACCAAACAAGCTGACGTAGACAAAACCCGTACCCATCAGTGGCTACGTAGTGCAAGGTTGAAAGCGGACACTGAAGGTTTTATCCTTGCTGCGCAGGACCAATGCTTATTAACTAGGAATCATCAAGCACATATACTAAAAATATTGTCAGCCCAAAATGCAGATTCTGTGATAAATATCCAGAAACGATTGATCATCTTGTATCAGGTTGCACGGTGTTGGCACCCACTGAATATAAAACCCGACATGACAGAGTGGGCCAATATCTGCACTGGAAAATCTGCAACTTCTACGGGAAGGAAACTGAAAGAAACTGGTATGAACATCACCCAGACCCGGTTACGAAGATAGGACCTGTTACAAATCTATGGGATTACACAATACACACTGACAGAACAATCAAGGCCAACCGGCCAGATATTGTTCTTAAAGACCACAAACAAAAACGGTGCCTCCTTATTGATATAGCAGTCCCTGCTGACTGCAATGTATCTTTGAAGATATTCAAAAAGTTGTCAAAGTACAAGGACCTTGAAATAGAAATCGCGAAAATGTGGCATATGGGAACATCAACAATCCCTGTTGTAGTTGGAGCCCTAGGACTGGTTGGAAAAGATTCCAGTAGACTAATTGAAGGGATTCCTGGAAGTCCATGCCTCAGGGAGATACAGAAAATTGTTCTGACAAGTACAGCCCACACCTTACGAAGGGCTTTATCTATGTAATCATTTTTTTTTTTTTTTTTTTTGTCAGTGGAAAGTGTCATGACGCCATTTCTAGCCTTAGGTCCCTGGGCGGAACCCGGAAAGAAATGTGTAAACGCCAGAAATCAAAGAAAATAAAAATTATAATAATAATAGTAATACACAATGTAGAATCTGTTCTTTACAAAAATGATATTGTTTAGAGTGAAAAAAACGAAAAGAATCTCTTTGAGTCATTGAAAAAAAGAATAATCTGAGAAACGTTTGCAATGAATGCCAAAAGTTTGTGCTGCAGCAATCAAGGCTAAAGGAGGATGTTTTGACCTAGAGCAAAATTTAATCATAAAATGCTTTTTTTATGTTCATGTCATAATCATTTCTAATAAAAAAAAAAACATTCACCGCTTTTTTTAACATGTATAATAATTTTCTCTTATTTAAAGTACAAAACAACTATTTTTGGGGCCAATTTAAAAATTTATCAGTGGGGGCTCAAACATATGAACTGCAGTAAATATATATATATATATATATATATATGGCATAGACATTACATGAATAATTCAATAAATATTCAGATTTTTCAGGAAGGTTCAGACCAGCGAGCAAAGAAAAAAAAAATCTATGAGTGTTTCTACATCATTATGTTCTTTTGCTGACTTCCCCTAACGTTTCCATAAACGTTACTTAGTAACGACATCGTAAATAACGTTACCTTGTAATGTGACTTTAACATAAAATGGATAATAAATTTTATTAAGTTATTCGAATATGCATTCAGAATCTAAATGGTTTTCAATTAAAACCGAATGAAAATAAATTGTATAACTAAATATTGTTTAGTGAAGCATAAATATTCTGAAGTTATTTGACCAGTGCGGGTTTTTTCAGCTACAGCAGCCCCCCCCCCCGCAGTGTTACCATAACATTTGTGATATCGTTGAGGACGAGCGGTCAGTTTGGGGCAAAGGAAAACAGCCCCGATTGCAAGGAAGCATGAACGTCGCCACAACGTCAAACATCCCCCGACCAAAATACAACGTGTCTGCAGCGTTGCAAGATAATCAGTCAGATAATCGGATTAGCACAAACCATTACTTGATTGACAGTTAGGTCTCATCATTCTACATTTGAAATGTCCAGATAAATGTGATAAAGAATTATTAAAATACTACTACTACTACTAATAATAATAATAATAATAGTGATAATCACGATATTGGTACCCACTGAATATAAAACACAGCATGACAGAGTGGGCCAATATCTGCACAGGAAAATCTACAACTTCTACAGGAAGGAGACTGAAAGAAATTGGTAGGAACATCACCCAGCCCCGGTTACGGAGATAGGACTTGTAACAATTTTATGGGACTTTAAAATACACACAGACAAAACAATCAAAGCTAACCGCCCAGGCATTGTTATTAGAGATCGCAAGCAAAAATTACCTTCTTATTGATCTGGTAGTCCTTGCAGACTGCAATGTATCTTTGAAGATCTTCAAAAAACTATCAAAATACAAGGAACTTGAAATCAAAATCTAAAAAATGTGGCACATAAGAATATCAACAATTGCTGTTGTAGTTGGAGCCTTCGGATTGATTGGAAACGATTCCAATAGACTCAATGAAGGAATGCCTGGCAGTCCATGCCTTAAAGAAATACGAATAAGTGTAGTCACAAGTACAGCCCAAATACAAGGACCTTGAAATTGAAATCTCAAAAATTTGGCGCATGATGACATTAATAATTCCAGTTGTAGTTGGAGCCCTCGGATTGACATCTTACCAGAGGAAAAGTTATAGTACGGAAGGTCACAAGTGACAATTTAGCTTTATGTGAACAACTTATTTACCGCGTTATTTTTAAGTAGGCATAGCATGATAAAAACGGCCTTAAACTTGACGAAAGCAGAATTTTATCGTCAAATTGTTTATGTCACTACCAACGCAAAGTACGTGACGGACTATTGTTTTCATGATGCCTCCGGTCTTCCGTATTTTTGAATTAAGCTATTTTTGGACACACAAAAAAAAACAAAAAACGTTATATTAGATTTTTATCTATTTGCAGATTACTGAGTGTAACCAACTTTATTTTATAATCTATAAATGATATTTATCTACTTAATAACATTTTTGACTAAATTGTACATTTTCATTAATTTTAGAATATTTAACAAATAAAATTTAAAAAAAATTTTTTTTAAGGCCGTTATTACCCTGCTCTGATCATTTTCCAGCGATCTCATGTTGGTACCTACTATAGGTACCGAGGTGTCAGCGAAGGAGATGGAATACAAGATACTTAAATGAAGGAGAAAGTAAGTTAAGAATACTGCAGGCGTGCGTTTCTAGTGTTAAATACCGAGATAAAATTCCAAAACAGAATATCAGCCATAAACACTTTGACTGTACCTGTGGTGAAATACAGTTTCAACATCTTTAATGGACTATGGCTAACATTAAACGAATGAACGCCAAAAGGAGAAAGCTTCTCACTTGCCACCTCATGCATCATCCCAAGGCTGATATTGATCGTCTGTATGTGCCCAGATCCGAAGGAGTAAGAGGGTGCATAATGAAGAAAGAGATCTTAGAAAATTTGACATTTGGTATAGCAGCAAATCTCGAGTCTTTTTTTTAAATTCCGGAAAGCAATCTGGAATAAGTTGAAGCTATATATATAGACTTCAGACAACTCGGGGTATGGATCAGCAAAAAACAAATTTATTGTAGGGGAAAAAGAAATTGCACATAGAATAGGCTGTGTCAAAGGTAGTTTCACACAACACCGCAAGTTGCCACGAAACCAAAACATTAATCTGGAAACTCTATACATTCTTAATTTGGCAACATTTTTTGGTTGTTGCCAGAATCGAAAGTTTTAATTTCTGAAATGAAGTTCTTATTATTTACATTTAGAATAATGACTTTGTCATTATTATCAAATGTTGATTGTTGCACCCTCTATCCTTTAGAAATAAAAAAAAGTCGTTTTATTTCCCTAGTGTCTAAGTTGTTAACCGTAAAAGTTCATTGGGTTCTATCTATCTATCTATCTATCTATCTATCTATCTATCTCAGTCTGTTAGTATCTATCTATCTATCTATCTATCTATCTATCTATCTATCTACCTATCTATCTATCTATTTCAGTCTGTTCGTATCTATCTATCTATCTATTTATCTATCTATCTAAGTCTGTTAGGATCTAGTTATCTATTTCAGTCTATTCGTATCTATCTATCTATCTATCTATCTATCTATCTATCTATCTATCTATCTATCTATCTATTTCAGTCTGTTCGTATCTATCTATCTATCTATCTATCTATCTCATTCTGATCTATCTATCTATCTATCTATCTATTTCATTCTGTTCGTATCTATCTATCTATCTATCTATCTATCTATCTATCTATCTATCTATCTATCTATCAGAAAGTTCCAAATAAACTTCTCCCTTGTCAAAGCACTAAATTCAGTTCTGAGTATTATCAGACCGATTGAACATTATTCAGTGAAAATCTCAGATTGAAATTCAGCTACTATCTATGTCAAGTTACGGAATTAATGATCCGAACTTGTAGAAGGATGGTCGATTGAATGCATGAACAGAGGCAATATCAGCAAAAATCTGTTTAGCGCTATTGTCCGTCATGGTAAGATCCAATTCAAGTCTAAATATATGACAATGGGGATTTCTATTAAAAATAAACCAACAAAACTAGCCTCCACATGTGTGCTCGGTTCTGTCTTAATTATTATTCCCGTTAAAGCTTCCAGTAGCCTCCCTTTGAGACGATCGCAAATAAAAACTCTTTTCCACAAACGAATCTCGTCTTCTATACAAAGCCACCCCGGGGGTAACCATTACAGAGTCGGGTAAACAGTAATCTGTTTCTCTTTCGCGCGCTTTCACCAACGGAAATAAGCGTAGAATATATTTATTTCCCTTCATTACCGGGGAATGATTTCATCTGTAAGAACAATGAACAGCGTTCAGGGAGATATCGAAGTAGTGAGTTGTTGCGCTTTGAAATTTGTCATTACGGGCGCACATGCTGAATTTTTCTAGGAGTGAATTCTAGTGAATTCAGTTCTAACAGGGTGCCACAATATTTGGGCTCTACACCGAACTGAAATGAAACCGTAAATCTTTATTTAGGGCACATGTCATTCTCGCAGAGCAGTAGTCTTGATGTTCATGAAGTGCTTCTTGCTTGTGGCCCTGTACCACAAAACCGTTTAAATGTTTAATTCGTGTGTCAGTCATAGAGTAATGACTATCGAAATAGTTTTGATAGGCGGTCGGTAGTCGAAAGAATTCTGTTTCCCATTCTGTTAAATTCTTGTAGGACTTCGACAGGAAAAAAAATAAGTTTAGCTAAAAACTAACCTACTTTCTAGCACTTCAGTAGATTTAGTTTTATTTATTATTAGTCAAGGTTTATTTATTTATTAGTCAAATGTTTCTTTGTTACTAGAGTCAGCCGCGAAAGCTAAACCATACTGTAGAAAGGGAGACCGGTGTAACTTGTGTCTGTTAGAGAAACTTATTATATTAAAACACTTAAATAACCCTAACTTGCTGAACAAAAGAAGTGAGTTGATAGCTAAATGTATATCTAATAACAAACACCAGGCTCAAGCACTTTTACACCGATTAAAATAGATTTCAAAATAGTTTTTACGAATAATAATATAATATTAATATTCATAGAACCCATCATTAACAGTATTTTTATATACACACACACATATATATATATTTATATATATATACACATATATAATTCTATATTGTAGATCGTACTCGATTAATTTATGACCTGTGTATTTGTAATTTCACCTTTGTATAAGGTTAGGCTCCAAATGTATTAGATATATAATCTTAACCTATAATTACGTTAAGGGCAAAGTTTACTTTAATAACTTATTCTAACGACGGTTTTTATGCACAGAGTTGTGCCCCTTGATATATAGCGTGTTTACTTAAATTCAATTAAAAAATATTTAAAATAATTTTTTTAATTTTTCGTCTTTCGAAATTAAGAATTTGATCGATATATATGATAAATAATTAGTTCTAATATTCAACAAAGAAAACAAGTTTTAACACACACTTTTAAATCAAGACCACGAGAACGCGAATTTCATGACATTTAGGAGTCAGTGAGCATTTTGCATCTGAAGTGTTTACATGAAATTCCGAGTTATGCTATCGACAAAGGATATTATGTATATTCACTAATATATATATATATATATATATATATATATATATATATATATATATATATATTAAAATGGACAAAGTCCGACAATTATTTTAAGATATTTTTATGTTTATACATTCGTTTTATACATATAAATATTTAAGTAAATGCTCTGTTTATAATAAACAGTATTAAACAACATTTACCGGCCTGAATGTCGGAGGACGAATATTTTCTGTGAAAATTTCTCGGACATTCAGGCCGGTAAATGTTGTTAATACTGTTTATTATTATACTGTTTATAATAAACAGTATTAACAACATTTCAGGCCGGTAAATGCTATTTATTATAAACAGAGAATTTACTTAAATATTTGTATCTGTAAAAAGAATGTATAAACATAACTAAACCATTTCATAATATATATATATATATATATATATATATATATATATATATATATATATATATATAAATAAAAAGAAAGAACAGTAAGATACGACTGTGTAGCGAAAAAACATATTTTAAATCAATTAATTTATTATATATATATATATATATATATATATATATATATATATATATATATATATATATCTAGCAAAGGGTGACTTGGGGATAAGAGTATGCAGTCCTTTATGTACGCTAATCGCCAAGGTGGAGAGGGAAAATGAGAACCGACTTGCTATTTCAACGGCTGCGTTGGAAAAAGACACCCCACCACGCAAAATTAAAGTTGTTTTTCACTGCTTTTCCAGAAAAAAAAGTTATTTTGGTTTGATCTTGTTCACAATTCATCCAATTAACAGTTCCTCTTTTAACGAGACGTAGACAATTTTATTTTAAGTTTTGAAAAATGTTTAAACAAGTTTCTTATCACGTGACGACAGTTGTCAGAAAAATGGCGTTGATTGATGAATGGAAAAGTGAAAATTCATAATTTTAACGTAAACTAAATTAATATTGTTTTAATTTAAATTGTTTTAACTAGCCAAATGTTCTTTTAAGATAAAGTTCTAACTTTCTTCTTTAAAATAACAGCAACATTAATATGTGCAATTTGAATTTAAATATTTTTAACTTAATTTCATATTTAGGTATTGCAGTGAATTTCTGAAAAATGTTGTTTAACAATGATTTAACATGAAATAATATACAATATTGTCAAGGAATGTTTTTGCATAACTTCAAAAAATAATTTTGAACATTTAAAATTTAATCTTAAGGTACTGAAACGGATGAAAACTTACCTTTAATCACAAAAATAATTCGTCGATTGCTACTTTTCGTTCCGCGTATGAACTGGTCAAACACTTTCTGGGTAATGGTCACATGACTAAATCCAAGACTTAAGAAGGGATCAAAAATACTCCCCATGGTTTAAAACTTATTATAAGTCAGTAAATAACTTTTGATGCGACACTAAAGTCGTCAGACGTTCTCTATATACACTTCAGTGCAGAATAAAACGCAGTTTTCATTTAAACCTCTCCGACTATAAGTTCTTTGAATAGGCAAGTCTTTCAGCTAGGCGCAGGAAAAAAAAATTATCACTTCAGTAGAGAGTGTCTGATGGCTGAATACTGCTGAAAAGCAAGCAAAAGAATTTCTGCTTTTCGGTGGCTTTCTCTCTGTGACCCAACCACTTCATTATTCTGTTTCTCTTTTTCATGTACCCAGCTTGAAGGGAATAACAAAACTGGAATGGCAAAAGCCATGGCCTTTTCCTAACGCAAGGAAAAGAACTACTTTTCGGTGACTGTCTCTGTTTCACTTACTATTATGTTCTGTCTCTCCAGTCCCCTCCTAAAAAGGCTTCTAAATTCATTGCTTTTACTTGCATCTTTTCTTACTAATCAACAAGTGTTATCTCTACTTAGACTCCCTTAATAATATCGCTTGTAAGAATTATCCTAAGGAATGAAGAAAAGTTAAAGACAAAAAATGTAAATACAAAGAATATAGAGAAAATTATCAATAATTAATTTTATATTACCCAAAATTATTTATCTTGGAAAGAATGTAAAACATACGTTGCATATATGGACCCTTTTCATCTAAGCTTCATATGATGATGCCTAAATAAAAGCGAAACTTGTTAAATTTAGAAATGTTTCTTATTTATTCCTTACGCTGTCATATAATATATATTATATATATAACGTCATCCACAGACAGACTGTTTCGCGGCTCATCAGCGTAGCTAGACATGCCTCTACCTAGGATCGAAACCCGACTGAATTGGCATCAGTCAGAGATTCTACCACTAAGCCGTCGGCGCACTGCAGGGATGAAAGTGAATTTTAGTGAATTTTAGCGTATTTATTTTTAGAAACACACCCAGTGACAGTGACTCAATTCGCTTTTTACGAAGAGTCTCGCTATATTAGCTATAATAGTCACTGTTTACAAATCCACACCTCTTCCCCAAAGAGCTCAACTGAAATTTATTTTTCAGGAGCCAATTTCATTAAATAATATCTATTTTATGTAAATTCTTTTCGTATCGTCTGATAAGCTTAGTGATATTATCATTAAACGAAGAAAGAAAATCACAAGATTGATAAATATTTTTTAATCCTATCTAAGCTTTCGGCTTACATAAGCCATTATGAAAGATGACAATTACATTACAATATATTAAACAATACACCGACAAATCAGTGATAATATTCTATTTCTGTTCACATGGATAATTTCCAAGCAACGACAACCTTGTGCATATAAGACGCTGGAAGCGAAAATCACACCGCAGCTCATGACGTCACACATGACCACGCGAGAGTGAAAACGAGAAGTATTAAGTATGGGAAGCCGTTGGTATAAACTAATGGCTTTTGTTAACAATTATAGGCATTTAAGGAGATTTGTGGAGATTTCATAGTTTATTTTGTTTAGGTTAGGTTTCAACTGCATGTATTAATATTGTGGGCGTGCTGTCGCAACGTTAGCGTTGCGACAGCACGCCCCGTTGAATTTTTTGAAAATTTAAAAAATAGTGCGTTTTTGTATGAAGGATTCATGTAATATAAATTGAACTACTGCACCACATATCTGATATATATATATATATATATATATATATATATATATATATATATATATATATATATATATATATAATAATCCCTGGGCAGCAATCCCTCTTTTGATATAAGTTTCAATAAAAAAAGATTGACAAATTATTGCGGTTAAGTTTTTTATTCAATTTTTCATGTATTTTTATAATTTTCTTCTTTTCTGGTTGTAAACTCTGTAAACATGATCCAAATGTTTTGTAAGGCCTAACGCTTTCGGTTATAATTTTAGCCATTATGAAGGATGATTTTATATTTACTTTTAACTGAATATATCGATTGTTTTATGCATCTAGAGTTATAAGAATGTTTTATTTTCCAAACACGGTCAGCACATTGTGGCCGTGTTCATACTTGATATTATTGAGTGTTAGTTTTTTTCTTTCTTTTTTTTTTATTATTATTAAGGCTTCCATTATTCTTAGTCTTTTTTACATATGGATGAATCTATTATATTTGGATTATCAGCTAGTATGTTGCAGATAGAATTTTGTAGGTCTCCATTTGTATTTAAATGAGACTTAATTGAGCTATGGTCAGCGAGATGCAATGTGAGTCTTCTTGTTAAGCATGTTGTAGTATATCCAATATTTACGAATTTGGATTGATCATGAACACAGTTCATTAAGGGACTTGCGAATTCAAAAATAATATTGGTTCTGTGTAATTTGGATGTTGCGAGTGAGTTAATGTTTTTGATAATGAGGTTAGCAGTTTTAAAATTTTTATAAAAGATAATTTAATTTTCTTGTTTTTGTCGACTGGAGAAACAACTCCATAAATAATAATAAAAAAAATGAAAAAACAAAACACTTAACCGCAGTACCTTGTCAGTCGTTTTAATGAAGCACACACACACACACACACACACACACACACATATATATATATATATATATATTTAAATTTTTGAGAAGTGGGAAACATTCATGAAGCTATACTTGTTCCGAAATATATCCGATTATATGGTAAAATGAGATACGCGCGTTGAAATAAAGAAATCTTATTTTTTCCCAAGCTGAGGTTTCTCCTGACTAAAAAAGAAAAATGATGAGTGACTTTTAAAAAAGTCGTTAACACTTCTTTTTTTTTTTCTTTCAGTTTTCGATTCGAAAGATATAATCCTTCAGAACGAGTAGAAAGTAAAAGATTTATTTTTTTATTATACACATAGAACCATCTCATTTTTCGCTTACTGATCTGATGAAGCCTTAAATGGCGAAATACATAATAATTGGCAAAAATTTAATATTTGAATCAAATATTCTAATTTTAAATCATATATATATATGTTTTAAAATTAGGATATATATATATATATATATATATATATATATATATATATATATATATATACTCTTGCTCGTACTCGAGTCTCCCGTCGAAATCGACGTATGAGGGTCAAGCAGATCAGTTCCTAGGAAACCGACAGCCCGACACCAGCACATGAGATTTGATTATAGTGGTGAAAGTTTCGTGGAGGATCATCCACACTTTTTGAAGGGCCGAATACAGAATATCTGATGCACTAAGTGCCACAAGGTCCCCAAACGACCCTCCACAGGTTTTGAATTCAGAGTTGTCCTTCTCCTAGACCAGTTGCCATCCAAGGCTATAGAACCCAGTCTGCCCTGCTATTTACCCATAGCTGGAGGGAGAAGAAGAGGATTAATACCTTTCCTAAGGATATTAGCACGTAAGTGAATTTAATGGATTCGACTGGAATTCAAACTTGAATTCCGATTCCTCAATCCAAGCCACTATCCATTACCTCATCGTGCCTCCTATTATATATATATATATATATATATATATATATATATATATATATAATATATATATATATATATCAAATATATATATATATATATATATATATATATATATATATATATATATATATATATATATATATATATATATATATATATATATATATATATATATATATATATATATATGTATATATATGTATAAACAATCCATAAAAATCCATTTTGGTTATAATTAATTTCATGAATATTGATGAAATAAATTATAACCATTATAATACCATTACTGCAGGCCTGGATGACAGTGTGTGTGTGGGGGGGGGGGCGTATTGCCACAAAACGATTTTAACTTTTTCTTTTTCTAGCTGAATAACTCAAAGGGTTTTTCAGTGATTCTTACGACAAATGATGTCAAGATGGCGAAACGTCTTATCGGAAAATCTGGAAAAAAGAAACTCAATTAGTGCTCTTTTAGACATTAAATATTTTGTGGGATGGACAATTATGCTGTTACACCCGGTATATATGGAGAGAGAGAGAGAGAGAGAGAGAGAGAGAGAGAGAGAGAGAGAGAAAGAAAGAAAGAAAGAGAAATAAAGATTGTTTACAACTAACAAACCCGTTAAAATATATCTGGTGTGCAGTATTATGTCAGGGAAACACTAAATCCGACGATAAGACATTAAATTTTTATTTATCTATTCTCTCTATCTCTTTATATATATATATATATATATATATATATAAGGTATGTGAATAATGATGAGAAAAGTATTTAGTTTGGACAATTATTTTAAAATATAATCACATTTCTTGTCAATGTCCATAATAGTGAATGTTAATGACATAAAAAGAAAACCAATATTATTTCACTGTTGATATGTCTTAGTTTCGTATAGGGTACCCAAAGAGGATCGAAATTAATGTTGGTGATTTAATCGTCCTGCTGGCTGACCGTTATATTAAAATGAGGTGCCTCTTTATTTACTAAACATAGTTTTAACTAAAGGCCACAATTACGGAGTCTCACTTTCAATCACGCCCTGGGTAAGACGATATACTACGTCCGCGTCCTGGGTAAGACGACAAACTTCGTCCGACAGTAAGGACATTGATCAGAAGGTTATGAGGAGCGTGGGAGCATCTCTTAATTGCTGGTGTTCCCAGGTCCGGCCTCTCAGGGTACCAGCTAAGGGCAAATAGTTATCCAGCTCCAAGAAAAAATGGGTTAAAACAATATGAAAGTATAAAAATAGGTTTTAATACCAGGAATACTTTTTTGGTAAATTATTTACCAGCGACATATTTTTGAAAAAAAAATTACCGACAATACATTTTGAAAAAACCAACAAACAAAAAAATAACAAAACAAAAAAACACCAGCAGTACATTTTTGGAAAAAAATATTACCAGCAAATAACAATCTTGTCAGTATTAAATAACCCATTGAGGTGTTGATATACCGTAAAACAAAACAAACAGACAAATCAGCTTCGATCAAGTTCTTTGTTATTGATTTACAGATTCAGACGTCGAAACCGTCTTTGATATTTATTATGATAATCTTTATTTTATTCCTTTTTCATAGTTTTGACTTTGTCCTTTCTTTATCATTTTCATCTTCTTTCTTTTTTGCTCCTTTTCCTTCTTTTTCATTTTCTTTTTTTTTGGTTGTCTTTTCTCTTTCTTTTCCGTTTCAGTTTGTCTTTATTTTTGGTCCGTTTACCCAGTTGTTTTTTTCTTTCTTTTTTCCTTTTTCTCTTTTTTTTCTTTCTTCCTATTTTGTTGCTCGCTTGTCTTTTTTTCTTCCCATCTTTCTCTTCCTTTCTCCTTTTGTTTTTCCTCCACCCGCCTCTTTTTTCCCTATTTTAATTCAACCTTTTCCATTTCCTTCTCAATTTTCACTTCCCCATTCTTTCTTTTTCGTTTCCCGCCTGTTTTTATTCTTTCTTTCACTTTCGTATACTCTCCGCTCTTCGTCTTCTTTTTTTCCCTCCCTTTTCCTTTTCTTACAATTCGTGTTTTTTTTCTACTCGTTCAATTTTTACTCCTTCCCGCCTTGGGGAAGAATCACAGAATCCATTTTTGATTGACAAAATTTCAGAATCAAAAGTTCTATTTTTCTAACAAACATTTCCATGTCTGCTATACCACCCAGCTGGCAGTAATATTTTCAAAACACGACACTTTCATTTTGGGGCTTCTTTGTCTTCTTTTAATAAAACAGCATTTTCGGTCGATATTTTATGATCAACTCTGGCCCCAGTTATCCAAATTCCTTGGCGTCACTCAGGCCTATGGTGCCATTTCTTGGCAAACGATTTTCTGCAAAAAAAAAAAAAAAAAAATACACACATTCTTTGAAAACAAAACGAAAAGCATCGAAGTTCAAGAATAAGAACACAAATCCCGAAATTACAAAACAAGCTTCAAATATAACGTGATATTTACATGAAAGAAATTGGTTAAAAAAAAAAAAATCTGAACTTTCTATTTAAAACTTAAAATGTTCTGTTTTGATAGCATTTTAATTTTTGTTTTTATTTACAATTATTATGGGTAAGCAAGTATTGCCTTTGTCATATTTAATTTTAGGCGCCAACTTGATTTCAAATGGACGACAAAGATTCCCTTCAGGTCGAATTGTCCGGTAAGTGTTCAGCTATTTTTAATATCTCAAGAACAGATTGCCCTGCTTTGATGTAACTTGGTAATTTGGAGTATCTTACTGCGCATGCGTGAATGCACATTCACTCGTGTTATTTCGTTGCCATTTGAATTGGCTTGTTACATTTTTTGCAGGGTTTTCTCCTCTTGGCCAAATATACCAGATTTGGCTTCTACAGACTCTACCAGATTTTTAAGACTTTTTTCCTGACACTCGTGCCTCGCCACATTCTGGAGAGGTGCGCACTAAAGGTATGTTTATATCTATCATCCGAAATTACTAATGGGCGTGGGACTGGCAACTTCACTCAGTAAAATCGACTTGTTATAGAAACCACAGCGGTAACACAAAGTCAGGAATGTGGAAATATATGCAAACAATACATTGATAGAAAGATGTTTAGATTTTACAAGTGTCAAAAAGGTAGTTCTGCACGAGAATAGAAAAGTCGACATTGGATGGGTTTCCATATGAATAAACCAGGTGGACATTGGTTGAGTTTGCACAAGAAAAAAAACAGGTCGACTTTGGTTGAATTTACATAAGAATAAAAGATTAGACATTAGTTGGGTTTACACAGGTATAAAAAGGTAGACATTGGCTGGTTTTCGTCAAGAATATATAAGTAGACATCAGTTGGGTTTGCACAAGAATAAAAAGGTAGACATTAGTTGAATTTGGACAATAATACAACAGGTAGACATTGGTTGGGTTTATAAAATAATAAAAAGGTAGACATTGGTTGGGTTTCGTCAAGAATGAAATATGTAGACATTGTTTAGGTTTACAGAAAATAAAAAAATAGAGACATTGATTGGTTTTGTACACAAATTAAAAAAATGTAGAACTTAGTTGGTTTTGCACAAGAATAGAACAGGTAGACATTTGATGGGTTTGCAAAAGAATAAAAAAGTTAAACATTGGGTTTTCACAAGAATAAAAAAAGGTAGACACTGGTTGGGTTTGCGCAAGTTAAAAAGTTAGTCATTGATTTGGTTTGTACACGAATAAAACAGGTAGACACTGGTTGGGTTTGTACATGAATAAAAAGGTAGTCATTGTTTTTTTGCATGAAAAATGTAGACTTTGCTTTGATCGCGGAAGAATAATCAAAAACAAATATATATTTGGTTACATGAGAATCAAAAGATTCGTATATATTTGGTTGTACAAGAATAAAAAAATGTAGGCACTGCTTTCGTTTTCACAAGAATAAAAAGAATATTCATCAGTTTGGTTGCAGGAGAGTCAAAAGTGTAGAAAGAATTTGGGTTTTTGTGAAAATCAAAAAGCAGACATAGTAAAAGGGTGTCTCTCAAATAATGTTTACCTGTTTCATTTTTTAGTAAATCCAAGCAAGGCCTACATTTTTTTTATTCTTGTGCAAACCCAACCAATGTCTACCTTTTTTTATTATTTTATAAACCCAACCAATGTCTACCTGTTGTCTTCTTGTCCAAATTCAACCAATGTCTATTCTTGTGCAAACCCAGCCGATAATTACTTATATATTCTTGTCGAAACCCAACCAATGTCTACCTTTTAATTCTTGTGCAAACCCAGACGATGTCTGCTTATATATTCTTGTCGAAACCCAATGACTACCTTTTAATTCTTGTGCAAACCCAGACGATGTCTGCTTATATATTCTTGTCGAAACCCAACCAATGACTAAATTCTTGTGCAAGCCAGACGATGTCTGCTTATATATTCTTGTCGAAACCCAACCAATGACTACCTTTTAATTCTTGTGCAAACCCAGACGATGTCTGCTTATATATTCTTGTCGAAACCCAACCAATGACTACCTTTTAATTCTTGTGCAAACCCAGACGATGTCTGCTTATATATTCTTGTCGAAACCCAACCAATGACTACCTTTTTAATTCTTGTGCAAACCCAACGATGTCTGTATATATTCTTGTCGAAACCCAACCAATTTTTTATTCTTGTCTGTATAACTGTTTTTATTCTTGTCTAAAACCAACCAATCTTTACTGTTTTTATTCTTACACAAACCAAACCAGCGTCTACCATTTTTTATTATTTGTGAAAGGGTGTCTGTATTGTGTGCGTATTTACTGCTCTGTACGTGTTTGTATTTGGTGTGTTATTGATCCCAAAAGACAGGATACATATTGCCTTTGATTTGTCCCCGACGTAGAATGTATGGTAGCTACATTATTGATTGAAACGAATTTTTTAATTTATTAACCCACTGGCTACGCCTTTGGATGTTGCTACTCAATTTATATATATGTGAAATGCATTAGCAAATGACCGCCTTCGGTGAGCATTTTGTCAAAAATGGAACTGCATCCCTGAAGATGTTGTGAAGTCTTCAGATTCTGATAATAGGAACGGAATATTTCTAATATGTTTTGAAATATATCATTGAGAAAATGTCACAGAGATTTTTTTTCGCTTTGGCTCCTGCACGTAGCACCGTTATTTTTGTGTAAACGTCATGACATGAAATCTGAGGAACAAAAGCTTTAAAACTTCGTGAACTAGTAAAAGAAAAAAAAATAAATAAAAGAAAATGCGTTACTTGACAAAAGTCAATGAAATTGTGACACAACAGTAAGGAAGATACGACATGTACAAATACCGAAGAAAGACAAGAATGCAGCAAACGTCGCCAGTGCAGAGATGGAAATTTAAACTATAAGGAAATACGGAGGATTGACTAAAGATGAATACAACTATAGATATGATTGGCTTGGAAGGGCAGTCTAGTGGGAATTGTGCAAGTTTTCTGCATTCCTGTCTTTCTTCTATCTTTCAAAACATATTAGAAAAGTTTCGTTTCTACTCGCTGAAACGCAAAACTTCACATCTTCAGGGAATCAGATTGGGTTGGAAGGGAAATCTAGTAAGAATTGTGCAAATGACTGGGATTTGATCATACACGTCTATCATTTCTAGTCTTGATAGAATTTAAAAGTGTTTACACGGCCTGGTGGGTAATGCATTATTTTCTATTCTACAACCATTTCCAACAGACAAAACCTCGCAAGACTATTGCTTCTCTATCGCTATTACCATAGCAAATATTCTGACGAGATACATTCATGTATTGCTGGTAATATTTTTTTTTCAAAAATGTATTGCAGATAATATTTTTTCCAAAATTCATTGTTGAAAAATTTTCTTCAAAAAATTTTCAAAATTTTTTTCAAACTTCATTGCCGGCAATATTTTTTCTAAAAATGAATTGCTAGTAATATTTTTTTTTCCAAAAATGTATTGCTGGTAATATTTTTTCCAAAATTCATTGCTGATAATATTTTTTTTTCCAAAAAAATGTATTGCTGGTAATATTTTTTTTTCCAAAAAATGTATTGCTGGTAATATTTTTTCTTCAAAAATGAATTGCTGGCAATATTTTTTTCCAAAATGTATTGCCGGCAATAGTTTTTCCAAAAATGTATTGCCAGTAATATTTTTTCTAAAAATGTATTGCTGGTAATATTTTTTCCAAAACCCTATTGCCGGCAATATTTAAAAAAAAAAATGTGTTGCTGGTAACATTTTTTTCTTTAAAAATATATTGCTGGTAATATTTTATTTCCAAAATTCATTGCTGGTAATATTTTTTTCTTCAAAAATGTATTGCTGGTAATATTTTTTCCAAAAATGTATTGCCGGCAATTTTTTTCAAAAAATGTATTACTGGTAATTACTTTTTTCTTCAAAAATGTATTGCTGGTAATTGTTTTTTTTTTCCCAAAATTCATTGCTGGTAATAAATTTTCTTCAAAAAATGTATTGCTGGTAATATTTTTTTTTTAGGCTGAACTAGAATAATAGAATAGGCTGAACTAGAATAATAGAATAGGCTAACTAGAATAATAGAATAATAGACCAATTATAACATATTTAGTATAGAAGAAAAAGAAATTGAAAATTGAAAAATTCAGTAGGCTGAACTAGAATAATAGAATAATAGATTATAGAATAGACTGAACTAAAATAATAGAATAGGCTGAACTAGAATACTGGAATAATAGAATAGGCTTAACTAGAAGTAGTTTTGGCCATCCTCACAAACTACTACAAAACCAAAGCATTAACCTGATAACTTGAGCTATCCTCCTAAATGGCCTCATCGAATCAAGACTTTCATATGGATGTCATGCATGGTGCCCATTTAGAAACGAGACTAGACTTGAGAAACCCATTCTCCTAAAAAAAAATTTAATAGAAATATTTAAATAGTACAAAGATATGGACAAACGAGAATCTGTCATGAAAAGAGCCTTTCTTGATTTTGTCTAAAGGCAAAATACAGCAGCCAATCTTTAGAGGGTTGGACAAGTCCAACTAACAACTGTTATCTTTATTTTGCCTGTTTTGATATTTACTTTGTTTTGGGATTCATTCCCTCCCCTTTCATTGTAAATCATTCATAGATTTTTATGT